TTAAGTCAGTATAAGCCAGAAACATCCAGCAAACTCACATCCAATTCTCTAGGTCCTAGAACTCAAGAACTTTGTCTAGTAATTCAAGAAGAAAGGTAATCAGCTGGTTTAGATACCAGCTGCTAAACCCATTTGTCTGCTCCATTATTGAACCATGAAATATATAGCAGATGGTCTAAAAGACAAGAATGGTCACCTATGCAACATTTGTGAAAATATGATTCTAGATCTAAAGTATCTCCCTTTCTTCTAACTATTGAACCCATCTATACCTGAGAGAAGATACTGATGGAAAAAAATACTAGGTGAGCACAAAGAATGCAGTGGCTGAAACTGAAGTAGAGACAAAGCCATGTTGATTGAAGGATTCATATCCCTCTCAACAACAATACAGTGAATGTAACCTTTACCTGTACTTTTACAAAATGTTTTTACTAGCCCTGCCTGTTGCTCCCCAAAGTAGAGGAGGCTTTCTGTCTGCCATCAGAGATCAAACTGCCTAGCAGCTATCTCCAGATACAGTAAACTCCCTATCCACAGCTACATGTGCTGTGTGTAAAAACCCTTCCTTCTATCAGCCCTGGATCTCCCTTCATCGAGTTTCAATGGATAATGACCTTTGCGATCACCTTATAAGCAACTGCGTCCTCTTTGTGGATGATGTAAAACTATTCAACACCACCGACAATGCTACTGTCCTTCAAAGCGACCTTGATTATGGTGTCTGAATGGTCAAACAATTGGCAACTCCAAATCTCGACCAACAAAAGTTCTGTCCTACACATTGGTAAAAAAACAAAAACAGTACACCAAATACAAACTAGGCTGATATGACCTCGTTGATGATCCTCACTCTGTCAAGGACCTTGGAGTTCTCATATCAAATGACCTAAGTGCCAGAGCTCACTGTAACAGCATTGCCAAAAAGGCATTAAGAGTTGTAAATCTAATCTTACAAAGCTTCTCCTCCGGAAATATCGAATTGCTAACTAGAGCATACAAAACTTTTGCCAGACCAATACTCGAATACAGCTCATCAGTCTGGAATCCGCACTGCATATCAGACATTAATACAATCGAGGAGTCCAGAAGTATTTCACGAGAAGAGTACTACAGTCCTATATTAACCCCTATCCCACAAGTTCCATGGAACCCTTATCAGTCTGTTCCTAAGGAAAGGCAAGCAGTCTCGGGAGATTCCTGTATTATAGGCAGAATACAATGAAGCAGCTAACTTGAACTCTATATATGTGTATCTGGCCTCTTGCGTTTGACAGGTGAAAAGTAATAGGAAAGCCTTTTCTCTATCTGATACCCTACAGAGCTGCTGTCAATCAGATAATGTAAAACTGGTCAAGATAGCCTAATAGCCATAATTAGGGGCAAGACAGCTTTCTTCATCCAAAACTCTATTGAGTGGGAAACTTTCAGCTTAAATCAAAACTATATGAGTGCATTAAGTCAACGGGGGGCAGGGGGGGGAGAGAGAAATAAAATTATGTCAGCACTAAAAAGACTAAAAAGATATTAATTTATTTTATATGCCTAGTCTTTATATTTATAAAGGTTCTATTTTAATGAACAAACACATGGACATATAGTTTGATTAATCATACAACTGCCTGGCTCCTTAAAGGCAACTGTGGGCAAATGTTAAAAATGAAGACGGATCCAAGAATGGCAGAAGGATAATATGCTCAGAAGTTGTGACTCTAAAGACAAATGGAAAACAGATCAGAGACTCTGAGGCAAAAGCAGTAAGCCATGGAAATTAAAGGAAAGGAAGGGCTCCTTTGGCATTAAGAGGAAATAGATAAGAATCTTTATACAAAGAAAAAATAAACAGTGACATTAATCTTTGAGAAAAGTTTCCCCAAAGGAAAATACTTAAGGCCACACAATTCTTCTGAAAAGGTCACCTCCAGTGGTGGTATTCAGCAGGTTCTGACCAGTTCTAGAGAACTGGTAATGGAAATTTTGAGTAGTTCGGAGAACCAGCAAATATACCACCTCTGACTGATCCCGCCCTCATCTATTCTCTGCCTCCCAAGTCCCAGCTGGGTCTTCTTTTGTTGCCCTGCACAGGAGAACGAAGCTGCAAAGCAGGTTAGTGGGGTGGGGAGGGAATGGAAATGTTGCAGTATCCTTCCCCTGCCACGCCCACCAAGCCATGCCTACCAAGCCACACCACACCGACCAAGCCATGCCCACAGGACCAGTAGTAAATCATTTTGAATCACACCACTGGTCACCACATTTTTTAAAAGAACACTTCTTTATCCAACTCTGGGACAGAAACAAAGAATAAATAGGGAGCAAAGAAAAAAGAGGTCCAGTCCTTTTAGCTATTAAGTTATTATCCAATTTAAAAGTCTGGGTGAAACAGAGGCTGCCTTAACATGACATTTTCAGCTATCGCTAACATAGCCATACACCAAACACAATTTCCTGGGTTTGCATAATACACTGAGCCACATATGGACCCTCTGGAATAGCGTTTGCATGTCTGCATGTAGACTGAAATGTGGTTGGATAATTTGTGGCTTAGTGTGTTGTACAAACAAAAGCATAGATTAAACATGTTCACGCAGCACAGCTCGACTGCATGTGGTTCAGGTGTATTCTGTGAGCGTAGCAAAGGTCCTACCCATAATACAAGCACTGAGTTGGAGGTCAGAGGAAAGAGTTGGGGCAGCAACTAAACCTGTACAGGAAGATCAACTAAGATGCATCAGGGAGAGGCATTGAGCTTGACCTTAGTCTAACCTTATATTATGGGTGCCAACAGCATCCATAATGCATTTCTTCTATGCCACTCAGGGTATTTTCCCAATTTACATGCAAAACAAGACCGAAATCTCTATGCGTAAGTCAGTAGCCATCCTTCTCTGGGTGCTGGTTAGACAGCAACCCTCCTGATCCCAACTCCTGAGTACAAAGTTGACCCCGTGCCCTTCCTTTCATTCTCTGTGGCCTCTTTTGGTCCACATTTTCTACTCTTGAGTTACTCCAGGCAGAGACCTGTCTCCTCCTTTTATACACACCCCTCGTATATTATTCCATCCAGCCTATTCTACACATTTGTATACAATGTATACAATGTATACAATGCTTTCGATACATTTGTATAGAATATGTTATTCCACACTCATCTGAGTATCCATAAGACATAAGACATAAGAATTTATTTGTCATTACACTCCCAAGCGGGTGCAACGAAATGAGGTGCTCTTCCACAAAGTAAAACTGGACAAACACCACTAAAAAGAAAAAAAGAAAAAAAAATTAAACTAAACACAACCAACCATACAATAATCTCTATGCAATTTAAAAATGTAAATACCCCATTACTCCCAGCCATTAAATTCCACAAAAAATCTTATGACCCTGCATTCAAACTCAAAACTGCACTTGGATAAAAACTGTTCTTAAATCTGGTCGTCCTTGTTCTTAATACCCTAAAGCTCCTTCTCGATGGTAATAGTTCAAAGAGCTGATGTCCCGGATGAGAGGAGTCATTCAATATATTAAGTATCTTCCTCTTACATCTATTCCTATACAGTTCTTCCAAAGAGGGGAGTGAGCAGCCAATGATGTTTTGGGCCGTCTTGATCACCCTCTGAATTGCCTTTTTCTCTGCCACTGTGCAGCTCGAGAACCATACACAGAGACAGTAGGATAATATACTCTCAATTGAACTCCGATAGAAGGTAGTCAGTAGACTCTCAGCCAGTTGTTGTTTCCTAAGAATCCTTAGTAAATACAACCGTTGTTGTGCCTTCTTA